CTGCCTCCATCTTCAGAGTTGAAATGAATGTAATCTCTCAGATACATGGGAAGGGAGGGGGGGATGTCCAAACCAACAGGAATGGTGAACAAGAAATGTGAAAGCAAGAAAAAGCTGTTATAAAGGTTCTAAGCTGTAATGTTGCAAGAGAGACATAAAATTATGAGCCTGGTCCAGGCCAGTAGGAATGGGGAACACGAAATGCACAAAAACCCAGATCTTATTAGGGAACAGAATGGTGATGTCACAGGCAGGACAGATGTGATAAAACTCTTTTGACACTGAAGCTGGAGACAGCATGCTCCTCTAAAATGTTGGTATCAACCTTGAACATTTATTACTACAAAGTAGCATAACCCAGATCACTATCTGCACACTCACCGCCATTAAAACTTAAAAATTATACAGTAACAACATTCCCTCTACTTGCTTTTACCTTTGCAATATATGAACTGAGAAAGTCAGTCCAAGCAGTAATGTGGATAAAGCATACAAAAAAGTTGAGTGGTTGATTCTTGGGCCACTTAGCAATGTGATATCAACTGCAGACTATATAAGGTATAGTGACTGCGAACGCTGAGTTGGGAAGGAAGTGAAATTGGTTGTGGCCTACCTTACTGTACTACCTCAGCAATGTTCTGAAGAGAAGATGGAAAACCACAGAAATCCCAAGAATCATCAGTCTATAGCCCAACATTCCAATGCAGGACATCCTGCATAAGAACGAGAAGTCCAAGCATTCAATCTCAATGCTTTGTACACATGACATAACCAGATGAAAACTTAAATAGGCCCTCCCACTAGTCTTAACAGGCGTTTCATGGTATTTGTCCAAATGCACATGATTCCTCATTCGTGGCTACAGTGCTTAATGTCATGACCTGCTCATCTGAAAAGTTAAGCCTGCAAATTTGTAAGTTCCAGGTTCAGGTAGACAAGCTAGACAAGTCAAAAGTTGAGATTAGATGAACGGCAGCCCCTGGTCCTCCAAGTCTGCAGTTGGGCTTAAGGCTGACAGTATAAAAAAGATAGGTTAAGCAAATTCACAACAGTTGTCAGAGGAAGAATGGACATCTGTTGTTAAGGAGACAAAGGTTCTTAGAGATCTGTACAGCCAAGAGAGTAAGAATGTCAGAATGGTACAGTGGGATAGGCCAAGATCACTCAGTCCCAAGTCCTATTCCCTTTATCATGCATAATCAACCTCTAATCTCACTGGACATGTTATTGCACTCAGCTGATATTCAAATGGATCACAAGATAAGAAGCATAGAAGAGACACATTAAGTCAGATATCTGTATCTTAAGAAAGATCTCCTAAATGAAGAAGAAGAACTGTATTACTGAAGGAAGGATTTGATAGTGCGGAGAAGAGACTGGCAGACCATAACTGAAGGAAGCAGAGGAAGAACTAATCAGCTAGCAAGACCATGTAAACAATGCAAAATGACAAGCTGGACCAAGATCAGGACTCAATTCAAGATCAGCATCTTAGAAACCTACGTATAAACTAAGAACTGTGTTAATTCCACAGTGGATAAACACTGCCTGCACATTATGAAGACTGTGGAGCATAGTCCCACTTTCGGATGGAGCACTGGCTACTTCATGCTTCTCAAGCAACTGTCAGAACTGTACTTAACCCTTCAGCGTGGTTTGCCATACACGGTATGCTGGTATTTAAATGGTCCTATCTGCGATTTGCCGTACACCGTATGCCAAGGTGTAAGCTTAATTTTGAAGGCCCATAAATAAGGAACGAACCAATCCAGCATGATGACGATTGCACTGGGCTGTTGTGAAAAGAATGTGCTCTCTGTTCGTGTAAACATAAGATTCAATTTCCTGCAGCTCTGCCAGTCAGTCTAACTAGAATGCTGACCTCACAGTTGCGATGGCTGAGTGACTATGATATCAACATACCACAAAGATGATATGCGTGTGGTTGTGAATAAAGCAAACAAGAAACAAAGCCCTTGGTTGTTTGTGATTACAACAAAAACATGCTAGGAGTGGATCTGATGTATCAAATGCTACAGCCGTACTTTCTTGAATGAAAGAAGTTTACTAAGTGGTATCAGAAGTTATTCAAGAGGCTACTCAATGTAGCAATACATAACGCAATGGTCATATATTGGTGTCTCCCGAATAACAAAAATATGGGCACGCTAAAGTTCAGATTTTCACTAGCACAAGGCCTCGTGGAAAATCACGGTTCTGGTGTTCTTCGTCCTGCATACGGCCGTCCGTCAGTTGATCCGCCGCCTAAAAGACTCACAGAAAGACATTTCCTGGAGCGTATTCCAGCCAAAGGAAAAAAGCAAAGCCTCAAAAAAGATGTGTGGTGTGTGCAAAACATGGCAAAAGGAAAGAATTTATTTTTGGTGTAGTGAATATGAGGCAGGGTTGTGTTTAGAAGAAATACCATATGAAACTCAACTTCTAATCCACTTGCTTCCATTGCTCTGATACAGGGCCCTCATATTATAAGGTAAGATTATAAAACCATATTTTAAGATGATTTCAGTGAAAAATTCATAATTATACCTCATATAGTTCAAAAGTTATGATACATAATATAATTTACAGCAACATTTAAATGGGTAATTAAAAAATACTACCACAGGAGGCCCCACAACAGCAAAATTTAAATGCCTGCACTGAAGGGTAAATAACAGGCTGCCACTGCCACCACCCTTACTGCCTCACCATACAAGATGATCCTCATTGCATTTGGTGCTATATAATGTCTGCAGCTGACAAAGTATCATTAAACAACACAAACTGCTCTTTTCTGAGATCTGTGGTCTATGATGATACTACCTAAGACTACATAGCATCTAATGGTAGGATAATCAGTGAATAATGAATTGGAATGGTTATGGAAGGAAGAAGTTTTTTATTATTGCTAGTGGGGTGGCACTAAGTCCCTTGTACTGTGGCCACTTCTGGCCTATTGTACCAGCCCCAGATGATGGGTGAGGGTGATTGTGGAGCAATTGGTGGAATGAAGATTGGCAGGGAAAACTGAAGTACTCAAAGAGAACCTGACCCAGTGCCACTTTGTCCACGACAAATCCGACTTGACCAGACCCGGGATTGAACCCGGGCAGCAGCAGTGAGAAACCAAGGAAGAAGTTACCGGACTGAAATATATAAATTCAAAAAGTAGTATGTATACCATATAGAGAATTATTCTTTCATATAAAAGAGGGAAAAAGGAAGCACTCTCTAATGTTGGTTTAATTTTTGCTACAAGGTACTTTTCTGGAGAGAATGAGGAGAAACACAAATCCCTCAGTCAAAACAGAAACATTACTGTTTGAGCCAACTTGTTCCATAAAATCCTCTTTCCAGTTAGTTATTATGTGATGAAGGCACAGCTGTAATAAATTAAGCACCATGACATGGAGACCATCATCCTTTAAATTCCCGTCTTTCCTTTCCATTTCTCCATTCAACAGTTACTATTTACTACATGCAATATTACATTACTTTTCAATCCACATTCTTGGGAGTGGGGTAGATTTTCCAAGATGTTTCCACTTAATCCAGATTTTGTATCAGACAGGTTTCACTGTTTACAGGTACATTTACATGTTAAGTCTATAAACCTATTATCAGACTGTAAAGGTAAAAGGTGCCGGTCATGGTAGCTGAGCAGTCTTAGGCATGCACTGTCTTTGCTTGCTCGGAAGCCGAGATCGCGGGTTCGAATCCCACTGAGGCCGTGGATGTTTGTGTGCATTTTTCTGTGTTTGTCTACAGGTAGAGGCCTTGCGATGAGTTAATCACTTGCCCAAGGAGTCCTACCAAATGTGTAAGATCTGGGAAAACCGAAGTGAACGGAAAAGTTCATGGAGGTAGGCCTAGGCCCACTGGGGCTGTAGTGCCGGGGGGGGACGTAAAAGGTAAAGTTGACCCTGTGCTTAACTAATTAAGCACTAGCCATGAAGGCATATGGGGGAGTGGATGTATACTTCCACATTTTCTTGACCTCGGCACTAGTTGGAGGTGAGCAGTCAGCTTCACACCCCTATTGCTTTACCCCCAGGACCCATTGGATAGGAGGTTGGGTGGGCCCCAGAGCCGGTCTGGACGCTGTGGAGAAGAGAAAATTCTTTACCCTACCAGGACTTGAACTCTGATTGTGTTGTCCAGCCTATAGCCAGTTGCTATACTGACTACGCTATCCTGGCTCATCATCATCAGACTGTACAAAAATAATTTATAATACAGTTTATTTTCTACACAAATCAAATTAAAACTAAATGCCTAAGATTGGAATATAAATTTGTAGATTATATGCTCATTTCATCCATCCTTGTTTTGTACGAAGGTCACGTCTTCTGGGAGGTGACACCCTAGAGTTTGGTAGGTAGGTGTAAATGCTTCAGAGGAAGAGGAAGTGGGCAGCACACTTGCTACCTATCAATCAAACCACATGGTGGCTCATTCAAGAAGACCAGGATCTTAACAGTCACTGCTGTGAGAACTTCAAGTTTGGTATGTTGACTTATATGACCAAGATTTGTCATTGTCATCATGATCCAGTATCAAAACTCTGCACATTAAGTCACTTATTCATATGATACTACTAACCATCATACCGCATAAAATTTAGAATTTCACTAAAAGTCAGTAAACTAAAATTCATTTCATCGATTTAAAGACAATGTTATCCCATCATCAAACAGATCCTTCACCTGAACATACAGAATTCTTCATAAAATACCGCTCATCCTAGAGGGAACATGAACATAAAAACCTCAATTTCTTTATTAAAACCATCACAACACAACAATATTAAGGTCAGTGCTTAGTGTGGCTCTGCTACATGTTTCAGCTATTAATAGCCATCATCAGGCAAATACATGGCTAATATACATATTGAACTGCAGTACTAATAGCCAAAACATGTAGCAGAGCCAAACTAGGCACTGACCTTAATATAGTTGTGTTGTGACAGTTTTAATAAAGAAATTGTATATTATAAGACAACAGGATGCATGAAACGAAAAAAATACAAACCTCATTTACCAAAATGATCCCTCTGAAATTTTATATTTTAATTTAAGGCACTGTGATTCCAAAGGTGTCATCAGACATCATTATGGAAGTATTTCCTTTGACAATCATTCACGTGACATCCTGTTGAATTTTGTTCTCAAATATAATTAATTGTAAGATCCATCTACACAACGCACAGTCATTATGTGCTATTTCTTTTTTTCCATTCCATGGTTCACTCCCTGACAACTGTTTCATATACTATGTTATCACAGAACGTCACTGATCACAACGCACCTTTACTTCACAAAGGGCACTCTGTGAAAGTTTACACAACCACAGTGAACACTGTCACCAAAATATTATGCACATCCCAATATAATTAAATCCTGACATTAATACTTGTTCTTATTTATTGTCTCCTCAAACTGTTGCAAATGTGGCAGTAGGTGAAGATATAATCGCTGAATGACAAACATCTGTGAGAGGAAGGGTTTTTTCTTCTGGGATGCAACGCCCAGTGAAAGTCAAAAGGCATTTTAGGGGAACTCGTCAGCTCCATTCTCTGAGTTCAAGAGTAAGCCAAGGAAGAAACCAGGATGAAGTAGACAGCAAATACAGCAGAGCTACACTGGGTGACTTTCACCAGACTGCAAGGCATTTTATCCCGGAAAACAGAACTCTTCACAACCAACCCTGTGACAACTTCAAATCCTACATTCATGGCAGGATTTGAAACAATGGCAAAAGCATGCACCTGAACCTGGGACTGTCTTAAAGTGTGCAATACAAAGACCAGTAAGTTTCTATGTTTCAATGGACCTTATTATGACCAGGAAGGTTTGTATGGTGTTATCACATCCAACTTACACCTAGGGGGTACCCAGGTTTAATCTTGGCAAGGGCAGTGCCTTTCCTATCTGATGTTATACGATTTTCCTCTGCCACTCGAGTTCAATACTGGGATAGTACCTGGACACTAGAGACCAGCAATTCCTGCTTCATTCTTTCCAATTCATTGTGCATAATCATCCTCTCATCCCATTTAACATTAATAACCTCTGCACTTACTTCTGTCACTGAAGGGCTTAAAAAAGGACCACAGACAAAGTAAATTATTCAGAGAACCTATTCAAATGTAATTCACAATATCTATCTTTCTGTTAATCTCACACTGTACCTTGGAAAAAATACAAATACAAAAGCTGTTTTGGGGGGGGGGTAGGGGCACTTGAGAAAATTTTGTTGTTCCATCCATGTGTCTTGATCCAAGGTCATTTCTCTCCAAAATCTTTCCCCTGGGACCAAAACAGTAAGTACTGTTATAATCAATAAGCAAACAGAACTAAGTTCACAAACTGCAGAATGGCTACTTGCATAATGTTACTTCTTGATTAATCTATTTTACCAATTGTAAAATTAATGGTTACAAAAACAGTAAAGAGGTATTGCAGAATGATTATGAAAGACAAATTGACAGGAAGTGGTCGTGACCTATGTGAAGTACCATTCCAGCGCTTGTTTGAGGGAGCTGAAGAAACTTGCACAAAAGCTCGAGGCAGATAATGCACTTACCAAATCCAAAACCCTTGTATGTAAGTCATGTGCATTACAAGTCTGTGATTTGCTCGAAGGCCAACTCTATTTCAGACACTCATTACTGCAAAAGAACAGGAGATGGCAGCAAATTCTGTGGATGTTCTGCAGCCAACATTGCTCCTATCCATCGAACCTGCTCTTCCTTTGATGTCCCAGCAATTGTACATCCAAAATATGGGTTCTCTTTTGACCTGTTAGATAAAAGGACTTTAATCAGGCACCCCCAAATAAAAAGCAGGCTACATGTCTAAATGTAACATTTAGTTTAAGGGGTAATGAAATTGCTTGAATGAGCATTATTTAACTTACCTTTCCGGCTTGTTGTGTTTGTCAATGAAGGTGACAGCCCACCTGCAATGTTAAATGAAAGTAAAATAGACCCTTCATGATAAATGAAAAATCTGGGTAACAAGTAAAATGCCACCACATGCTATATGTGATACATATGAATTTTTTATTTTCTAGTAAAATGTTCTGGAAAAAGTAACATTTCTGCTGCATTCACCCGAATATAAAGTGAACTCCCTTCTGAAAACTTAAATTTATGGGGCACTAATTTACATTTGGTTTAAACACTAAGACTGATTTTTCCTCCAAACCCATATAAATTACATGTAAACCAATTTATTCCCATTACAGTATTGATATTAATATGCATCAGTAGTACACATATACACAATCAGAAGTCCACATTCACCCTCTACTGCTACAGTATTTTTATAAACTATAACTAATATAACAGAATCCAAAGATTCACCATGAATATCAAATCCACCAAAGTCTTGATGGTAGACTTCATTATGAATGTAAATCTAAATTTATAAACTCACTTTGGAGTATGCCAAAAACGGCCAATTTAAAGTTTAGAGAGACAGGGGGAAATATTTCTGTTAACCAATAAAGTCTTACAGTAAATATGTAAAAGGTCTAAAAACAATATACAGCAAAACTGAAATTTAATGCCTCTTTGGGGAAAAGTGGATATAACACTTTCAATTGCATATCTGTAGTTGACCGTTTATCAGTGCTCTGTCCAGATTAACATATCTGACCAAGGTCAGACAGTAAAACACCATAACAAGGCAAAATATTTCTCTTTCAACACACATTTTATGATTCTTTGGACATATACAGATCACCTGCTATTCATTTTTTGAAAGCAAAATACTGCAAACCACTAGTCTGCTATGAAAAATGGCCATGAGACAAGTAACATAACATCAGAGTTGCAGGGAATTAAGAGAGTAAAATTATACTGAGGAAAATCTAAAATGTAGGATATTTTACAATGAGATTACTGACTTGGGCTCACTGAAATTGAACACTAATGTGGATGAATCTTAAATCAGAGAACACTAAATGGGATTTCCACTGTAGATCAGCGTTAACATGTTAGTGTTATGTAAAGGTTTTCTTGTAGATGCAAAATAGTTTTTCAGTAACGGCGGCTTTTATTTTTTTTTTTTACCAGAGGTTTCATTAACTTTGAAGTGTTGAAAAACATTGTCTTACATCATTTACAGAATTCACATCTTTCTAAAAGCAAAGTACATACCTCATCTGCGGATTTCTTTTTGGCTCATATCCCAAGTACCATACAATGTCTTCGATTTTCCATTCACCCAGCTTTACGGAACCCTGTGGCATAACAGAAATCATGACATCCTGGTGACAGCATTAGAAAAGAATACAAGACACAGCCACCATTAACACTCCTAATATGGAGAATGGCCAAATTATTTCTCAATTTCCTTAAATTCTTTGGTATACTTACTCTTTTATCTTTGTAATAACAGAGCTTTGCTTGACTGAATTCGAACAGGTATGCCTTGAATGACCTGGTTTTACGATCAGCAAAACGAAGATCCCCACACAAAGCCAATGGATATTTGGCCTGAAGAAGAAAGAAACAAATTGGAATTTACACACAAATTTAAAATTCTCATGGTGGTTATGATCTTCTGAGATGTGACGCTGTGTATCTGGTACACTATTACTAACATTTCACAGTGCTCTGCTTGTCACTTGCTTGCCCGACTTATTCATCAACCCTGAAGATGGATGCAGTACATTCCTCTTCGACGGCATTAAAATTCTACCAGACTATATGGCGTCACAGCCTAGAAGACAGTACTCCTCAACAAACTGTATGCTTTGCAGATTTAAATTGCTAAAGTGAACATCAACAATTTTCTCTTATTAGTCAGAATATCTACTACAAACAAGGTAGTTCAAATATGACCCAGGACTGATTTCTTTTTTTAGACCATAACTGCCAAACACTTACTTGCACATGTCAGTCTTCAACGTACTCCCCTCCAGAGTCAACACATTTTTTCCAACATTCTGGAAGCATCCTGATGCCCTTTTCAAAAAAAGGCTTGTGATTGGCAGTGTATCCACTACCGAACAATCTGGATGATGGCGTTGTTGTCCATAAACCGCATACCTTGCAAGTCTGATATGAGCCTTCCAAACAGGATGAAATCACTTGGGGCCAAATCGGGACTGTATGGCGGACGTGTTAGAAGGTTCCATTTCAATTTCCAGAGGGTTACCATTGTTGTTTTGGCCATATGGGGGCATGCATTATCTTGAAAGAAGGCTACCCGCTTTACACCTGTCTTCAGCTTGGATCAGAACTTTTCCTTCATGTCTGTTGCCAGGAGGTCTGACTAATAAGCTGCATTGACTGTTCTGGCATCTGTCAGAAAGTCTACACGAATAACCCCCTGCCAGTCCCAGAAGAACTGCGCCATCACTTTTCCTGCCGAACAGCTCCTCCGTGTTCTCTTGGGTTTGTGAGAACTGGTATGCCACCACTCGCGTGATGACTGCTGGGACTCAGGAATGAAGTAGTGCACCCATGTTTCATCGGTGGTCACTACAAACTTCAAAAATGCATCACCTTCGTCTTCAAACTGCTGTAGGAGATGACTGGCAGCTTGCATGCGCACCATTTTGTTCAAGTCCATCAAAGTGCGTGGTACCCACCATGCATTCACCTTTGCAATAGTGCAGGTGGTATTTCACAATGTCTTCTACACTACCAACACTGATAGACAGCATCGCTCGAAGTTCCTTGATAGTGATACGCCTATTTTCATAAATAAGCGCGTCTGCACGATCATGCGCTTCATTCTCCACACGCTATCTGCCCTCTCTGAAGCACTTACACCACTCAGACACACGGGTCCGTGAGAGACACTCTTCCCCATACTGTTGTTGGAGTCTGTGGTGAATTTCAGCTGATGGGACATTTTCTTCGAGGAATTTGATCACAATGCGTTGTTCCATGCTCCGTGGTACCTTCTGTTCGCTCATCACTCTAGCAACTCCCAGACAGGACTGAACAGGTTCTAACCCGAACAGGAGGGTGGGTGGAGGTTGTGGCTTCATTCTCTCAAGGTCGCACGACTGCTGCACAGTGTGACTTGTTTACACACAAATCAGTCCCGGTCATATTTGAACCACCTGTACATTTACAAGTGAATTCCAATTTAATGTTCCTCTCGTCAAGACTGATCCCCTCTATGGTCCAGTGGTCAGAATTCCTGGCTACAGATCCAGAGGCCCCGGGTTCGATTCCCGGTGCTACCAGATTTTCTGTGAAGTAGTGGGTCTGGAATGGGGTCCACTCAGCTTTGTGAGGATAGAGCGGATAGAGCTATTTCAAGGAAACAGTGGTTCCGGTCTAGAAAATCGAGATTAATGGCCGTGGGGATCTGTTGCACTGACCACACAACAGCCTCTATCTGCAAAAGTGGACATTAACTTCGCCGACAAGCGGCAGATGCTCGATCGGCATAGTTCGCTTTCAGTGTAAAGGCCACAGAGTTTGTTTTGTCTGTTTGTTCTTAGTCAAGATTTTTCCTTAAGTTACTTTCATTTTCTGCCATCCTGGCCACAGCCCCATATAAATTACATGGCACATTGCCACCATTCTTGTGGCAAACCAGTGTTCCATTGCACACACTTTGAGAAACACTGTTGCAATCTCTTCTGATGCCATAAAACCTTTGCAGCTGAATCATGCAATCAAGGAAATGAACCTAGCACAGGCTACATGCAATACATACATTTATTTTATTAATTATGTGTAATTTAGTGAACAATACTGTCAAACTATACAGCATACTATATACAGAACAAGCTGTGAAATAAACTTATAAGCCTGAATTATGGGGGGGGGGATCCGCACACGCGCACACACAATACCTTTAGTTCGCAAAGAAAGCAACTTCATCCAAACAGCTGTAAAAGATATTACACCCGGAATAAACATGTTCATATGTAAGTAAGAAAAGCAATGTTACCCTTAGGCTCATATAATTAAGCACCAAGCCATGAAGATGTATGGAGGAGTGGGAGTACAGCTACATCACTCTCAATTTCAACACTAGATGGAGGTGAATGGTTAACTCCTCACACCTGCCACTTTACTCACATTGAAAGAACCCTCAGTACCAGGGGCGGCCTGCGTATAGGCACTGCGGAACTGCAGCACCCCCAATTTCCACTTGATATTATCGATAACATTTATATAATGAGTCCTTTTTTCTTTAATTCTTTCTTTATACTTGTACAATACAATATATAATCCTTAAGCTTAATGTCAGTAGCCAAATCTTTGTATGGAACTGCGCGTTTTACAGTTCCAGCGGGAGAGGTGTTTGTTGACTGTGCGCATGCGCACATAGGAAGCTGCACGCGAGATAGAGCGAGAGAGAGCACTGTCTTTCCCGCAGTGCCGACCACGCCAACCCTGGCGTACTGATGGTAGTTTTTTTTTTACTCCGCGTGTGTTGTGCTTAAAAACCATGTACCATATTCTTGAATGTGAATTAATTGTAGAATTAGATTATTATCCTGCTTCCAGCTATTCTATTTGATTCATTTCTTTTCGGTTCTTTTATTTAACAGAAAACTTTAACCATGGCCTTGCATCCCCGAGAAATAAGTTCTGTGACTGTAAGTGAACTTCAACAGCTTAAGTTTTCACAACTGTCTCTCCATGAGAAAGTTGCAGTTAAGAAAAGAGGTCGTTTAACACCTGATATTCTAATATCTCAGCCAGGCATAAGCAAGAACAAGAAATATATTCGTAGCTTTAATTCTGAATGGTACAAACGGAAAAGTTGGCTTTGCGGCTGTGAAGTAAAAAATGCACTGCTTTGCTTCCCGTGTTTGCTGTTTGGGGGTGATGTAACGTGGACAAAAGATGGTATTAGAAATATAAACAAAATGAAAGAAAAAACTGAAAAGCATGAGAAGTCAAAGAAGCACGCTGATAATGTAGTTTCACTGTCACTTTTAGGAACCGTAAGTATTAAGGAGAAACTTAGTGAGGCATACAGACTTTCAATCAATGAGCATAATATAAAGGTTAAAAAGAATGGATTTCATTTTTAAATGAATAGATTAAGCTTGAACTGTAACAATTTAGGTTAAAGTAAGTAAAAAATGTTTGATTTTCTTCTTTTAGGATTTTATCAAGTTTCTGAATAAATTTTCTTTTTATACATGTTTGTTTCCTTTTATACAATTTTAAAACAAAGGCTACAAATTTTCTGGAGCAGCACCCCCACTAATTTTAGCTACGAGCCGCCACTGGTACCCAATACATGAGAGGCTGGGTGAGCCTCAGAGCTGGTAACATTATGAAGAAGAGAAAAATATCTTGCCCCTGCTAAGAATTGAACACTGAGTCTTCAGTAATCCAGCCCATAGAATAGTCACTACACTGACTGCACTGTCCCAGATTTTTGTTAATAAACATAACCCATGATAATTACAGACCTGTACTGCTGCTTCTTTGAAGACTGTGTTCTGACAAAGAACTAGGCAGTTGTCCTTCCGATCGATGTCACTCCAATAGCCCCAACGCAGCACGACATCCAGCACTCTTTCCATGTGATGCAATGGTCGTGTGAGTGCTCCCCCACATACAACTTCTTCAAGGCAAAGCTCATGTGCTGGGAGAGAGACTTTACTTGCCAATTCTGCACACACTTCTCCAGCCAGCCTCTGTGGTCCTACCTGTTCCCAGCAACAAACACAATGAAAATCCTTAACATGTCTGTGGCTAAGTGTCACTACTTAGAGAATAATAAGTGGAAAGGTGGAGTGCACATATCATATTGTGACATGATAGCTGAAAGCCAGAATGGTGGAGCCAGAGCAGACATCCATTGATGAGCAACAGCTTGGAAATCCAAGCTCCCGCTACAACGAATAGCACTGAACGAGTCGTTGCCAGGTGGCAAACTGCTAGACACAAGATGTTTTGTAGCAACAGATAACACAGAATAACAGAGGACAATTAACGGTTAAACACGGTGGTGACTTATATTCAGGTCACGTGGCAGTTATATTCATAAATTAGGGAGATTCAGATTAGTCCGAGATTCTTCATACAGCATTCATCAGACAGGAGTTGTAATGTGTAAGCTGTTATAATTGACTGTAATTGTAAAGTGCCAATAAACCTAAACATCAAATCCAGAACCCATTACTATTAGTCACACAAACCCTGAATATGTGACAATATTTTGAATAACAGGCCCACAAATTAAAAAAACAGAACACTTACAGGATGCCTGAAGTTTGGTACCATATATATAAATGCATGTATATTAGTGAAGGATAACTAATATCCAGTGGAGGGAGAGCAACTGTGAATGTTACACGGCGCTATAAGCAACACATGCTTCCAAATACAGTAAGAAAATGTCGCCCTTTTTCCTTCTGCACTACATCCACACTTACTGTTATGTTTACACAGTTGGAGCTATCTTTATGTTCCAGATGAACCCAAATCTTCAGATCACCAGACGATTTATTCTGTGGGGTTGAGCTGTTCGCAGAATGATAACGCTCCAGCACCTCCTGCATACGTTTCTCAAGTGATAATTCAGCTTCATTGACTTCAAAGATTTGGGAATATAGCAGGATCAAATCTGACACAACTTCAGACTCTGATTTTGCCCACACTAAGTTGTCACCCTGGAAATTCAAATACACAAGCAAGTCACTCCAAAGATCTGTTGTTTACTGAATGAAATTCAAAGTGGTAAAATAAATGTGCAATCCATAACAGATACAACAGCCTTTTGTTCATTTGCTTTACAGTTAATCAAACAGGGCTGGTAGTCTGAACTGGATTCAAACTGGCTAATTATAGGATCCAGCAGTGGGTTCTTGCAAACATGGTAATGATCACTCTGGTTCCATAAACAGCAGGGAATTTCTAGACCAGCAGAGTGGCTATTAGCTTCTTAAGAGGGTTTATACTCCATGGAGTTGTTAATTCACACATTCACTCACCATACCCAATAACAGTTGTTTATTAATGCTCCTTCCAGATGATATCCAATCATTAACACACCGTGACAAGACAAAATATTCATATTTGAGAACACAGCTATTTTCCTTTGCTGCTAGATGGAGTTGCAGCTGCCAACTGCAATTCTACAGGCATATGTGGATCCTGCAAACCACTAGTGTACATATATAAATCACTGGGCTGGTAAGTAAGTAAGCAGCTGGTGCCCTGGTGCACAAATCTGCTCCATTTCAGTTCTTACTGTTGATGCTCGCTGCCTCAAAGAAAGACAGCATTTTGTTTTCTTCAGATGCAACGTGACCAGCTGCTTAAGAGAGTACGAAGGGGGACCCAAAAATAACCGGAAACGACCTGTTGCGCGCGCATGCTTTGTAGTTACGAGTTGTGCTGCTAGGTGGTGTTAGCTGGGGGTCTCTCGCGACTGTTAGTGAGCTGGCATCAGTCTGAGTTAAGTGGTTTGTCTGTGGTGCTCTGTTGTGTGCGTTCCTGTTTCAACCCTTTGGCGATTAGTGAGATGGCCGACCAGAAGGAACAAAGAGTGTGCGTGAAATTCTGGATCGTTCTGCACTTCACTCTTCAAGTCGCGGCAAACATTCACGCGGTTTTCTCTCTGGTCATCTCCGAGCAAGCGAGGAACAAATTTTGCAGACACCCGTCTCATGTGCAAACCTTCGGTTAAAATTCGCTGGACCGTGCTCCATGAGATGTTCGTTTCCTCAGAAAGTTGGTCAATGGTCTTTCGACGATCTTCATCAATTTCACGCACACTCTTTGTTCCTTCTGGTCGGCCATCTCACTAATCGCCAAAGGGTTGAAACAGGAACGCACACAACAGAGCACCACAGACAAACCACTTAACTCAGACTGACGCCAGCTCACTAACAGTCGCGGGAGACCCCCAGCTAACACCACCTAGCAGCACAACTCGTAACTACAAAGCATGCGCATGCAACAGGTCGTTTCTGGTTATTTTTGGGTTCCCCCTCATACACTGTGGTCAAAGTTCCACTGCATGCTGTAAGGTCATTAGAACTGAACTGCAAGCCATTACCTTCACTATCGTACTATTTTTCCAACCCACTTGTAAGCTCCACCTTTGGCAACTCTATAGATAAGGCATGGTAATATGACTTATACGGCAGCAATTGTTCGAACTGTGACATCATGTAGGCTTGTGGGTGTATATTAATGTTCAGCAGAACATGCTGCCTCCATCTTCAGGGTTGAAGTGTGTATAATTAGCATGTGGTTAAGTCTCCTCTTCCCATCACATGGATCTGAGTTACCACTTTCATTTCTTGCAATTCTGTGTTCCTCCTCTGATGTGGGACCCCAAAAAACTGTATTGTCACAACTCCTGTTCACTTATCCTACAGGCCTGGAATGTGTGCTGTCTCCCCTGTCTCACTGTCGTGGTGACATTCGTTGCAACTTGCCTGTAGAGCCTAACCACATACTCGCCATACTCACTTAGATTCAGAAGACAGGCAATATATTCTTCCTAAATACTGTTAGTATTCCTTTAGAAGACTAGATGATGCCACAACCCAGATGATCATAATTTGGAGATAGCATATTATTTTTAATTTCTCTCCCATAAACGGAATTTGTTTACATGTATGGAAACATGTCTGGTGTACCTATCAGGGTTGAATGAATGATGCAGTCTGTTAGAATTAATTGTACAAAGCAGACTGAAAGACATAATCGTCTGCAGCTATAGCCAGTGGTAAATTTCTGATTGTTCAGCATAAAGATAATTTTATGAATGTAAAATTATACATAAAACATAAACATTTGGATGCATGTACAAGGTGGTTCAAATATGACCTGGATTGATTTTCTTTTTTAAAAAACATAATTGCCAAACACTTACTTGCACATGTCAGTCTTCAACGTACTCCCTTCCAGAGTCAACACATTTTTCCCAATGTTCTGGAAGCATCCTGATGTCCTTTACAAAAAATGCTTGTGGTTGGTGGCATATCCACTCCTGAACGGTCTGGATGACAGCGTTGTCCACAAACTGCATACCTTGCAAGTCTGATTTGAGCCTTCCAAACAGGTATAAATCACTTGGGGCCAAATTGGGACTGTACAGTGGATGTGTCAGAAGGTTCCATTTCAATTTCCAGAAAGTTTCCATTGGTGTTTTGGCCATATGGGGGCATGCATTGTCTTGAAAGAAGGCTACCCGCTTTCCACCTGTCTTCTGCTTGGATCGGAACTTTTCCTTCATGTCTGTTGCCAGGAGGTCTGGGTAATAAGCTGCATTGACTGTTCTGGCATCTGTCAGAAAGTCTACATGGATAACACCCTGCCAGTCCCAGAAGAGCGCTGCCATCACTTTTCCTGCCGAACGGCTCCTCCATGCTCTCTTGTGTTTGGGAGAACTGGTATGCCGTCACTCACGTGATGACTGCTGGGACTCGGGAATGAAGTAGTGCACCCACTTTTCATCAGTGGTCACTATAGACTTCAAAAATGCATCATCTTCGTCTTCAAACTGCTGTAGGAGATGACTGGCAGCTTGCACGTACACCATTTTGTTCACGTCCATTAAAGTGTATGGTACCCACCATTTTGTTCGTCCATCAAAGTGCACGGTACCCACTGTGCATTCACCTTGTGATAGTGCAGGTGGTATTTCACGATGTTTTCTACACTACCAACACTGACAGACAGTACTGCTCCAAGTTCCCTGATAGTGATGTGCCTATTCTCATGCACAAGCGTGTCTGCACGATCAATGTTTGGTTTGGTGACGGATGTTTGCGGCCGACAATCATGCGGTTCATTCTTCACGGACTCTCTGCCCTCTCTGAAGCACTTACACCACTCAAACACACAGGTCTGCGAGAGAGACTCTTCCCCATACTGTTGGTGGAGTCTGTGGTGAATTTCAACGGACGCGACGTTTTCTCCGAGGAATTTGATCACAATGCGTTGTTCCATGATCCGCGGTACCTTCTGTTCACTCATCACTCTAGCAACTCCCAGACAGGACTGAACAGGTTCTAACCCAAACAGGAGGGAGGGTGGAGGTTGTGGCTTCACTCTCTCAAGGTAGCACAGCTGATGTGCAGTGCAGCTTGTTTACACACAAATCAGTCTCGGTAATATTTGAACCACCTTGTACAATAAGGGTCAATGTTCTGAAAGTTGAGAAAGAGCAGATGGAAGATTCTTGGAAAAACGATGTTCACTTCTGAGATACAAACCCCCAAACAAATTGTTCTGTTACTAATAATTCAGAAAAAGAGAAAAACAATGAGAAGTAAGGAGTTCAAAAAGGTATTTCTACATGATATGTTTGGTTTTCATATCAGAAAAAACCTGAACTGCATTCCTGTGTGATGTTAACATTGTATGGGTGAGACAGCACAGAAATACACTGAAGATGCAGGCAGCATTCACTACATGGTGTCATGAACAAGAAGACATAATTTAAGTTGTAGGCGTTTTCAATTAAACAATTTTTATTTTTGTGAAAGACATTTCAAAATAATACAAAGTACATGAATCCAGGGAATGCCAGAACTTACTATGGTTAAGAGTCCAATGTAAACTGTAAACACCACAGTCAGCCATTACCTTCGAAATCGTGGATCCCATCTTACAAATACTCCCATGTTAAAATCATTCACCCTCATCAGGTGGGCACAAACCATAACTGGTGTTTATTAGGAATTATAACAATAAAAAAAAATAAATCAATAAGTAAATAGTAATGCAAACATTACTCTTCATTTTGCCGGTTACTGTACTGAAATGGGGCATAGAATTGAACCAGAAAATCAGATATTAATCCAAACCATTCCAGTACCTCGATATGCATGAGGGTTGGCCCCCAGATGGCTGCCAAGTTCTCCACTGGCATCAGATTCTTCTCATGCTGCTCATGAATGAAGTGCAGGTGGCCAATAAGTTTGCGTGTTGTCAGGTAGTTAATAGGCGGAAGTTGCTCCAGCACTCGACGATAAGGTACCATTTTATCAGAGCCCCTCTTTCCAGCTAGAATATTAATAGCAGGTCACTCTGAGACTGGAGCAAAGTAAAGGTAATGTAGCCCCTTGCACCTAAGCTTGGTTATTTGTTTCTTAGATTACATGACACTGTTTCAACAGCACAGCTTATATAGAAATGAATGAAGAGATAGATGATCATGAATTATGAGAGATGAGGATATGTAAAAAGGAAGACATGACTAATGTGAAGATACTAACAAAACATTCACCTGGAGGTCTTACATAAACATTATAAAACAATAAAAAACTTCAGTCAGAATAGACAATAGTTCAGAAATTATTATTTTTCTTTTTCTTGGGCTACATAATGACACTTCCAGTATCAAAACTATGCAGCGCTGGATAGCAGGACAACAGATGAATTGGAAAGGTTCAGTCATGGACCAATTAAGAATCTGGAAGGTGTCAGTTACAGCCTGAGGTACTGTCCTGACATTTGCCTGGATGGACTGAGGAAAACCATGGTAGCCAGCCAGGATAGCCAGTGTCCCAGCTGAGTTTTCAACTGAGAATTTCTCAAACACAAGCCCAGACCATTACCTCTAGACCAGTTTTCAACCTTTCACAACTCATGGCACACTGAACTAGGCCCTAAATTTGTCAAGGCACACCATCAATTTTTAAGGAGAGATTTTACCCTTAAAAAAGTAGCATTAAGATTGTGTTTAGAAGTTCAATGGCTAAAATTCTACTTGCTGTGTTTTTTAAAATAGTTGATCATGGTGTTCGATGATTTTTTATTCCCAAATTTTTCTTGCTTCTTTCTGACCTTCCCCCAAACTCCCGTGGCACACCTGCAGACCCTTTGTGTCACACCAGTGTGCCACGGTACACTGCTTAAAATCACTGCTCTAGACCAGCCTGTTCAGCAGAAATGGCCGAAACTTGTAACACTTGATGTATGTCTACAGCAACCCTGCTGCTCCAGCCCTCTCAGCACTTCAGTACCATGTATAGTTGCTCCACTGCTCCATTAAACACATCATCATGTATGGGGAGTGGGAATACAGCTCCATGCATTCCTCATCGTGCCGGTCACAGTATCTGAGCAGTCTAAGGCATGCACTGTCTTCGCTTGCTCAGAAGCTGGGATCGTGGGTTCCAATCCCACTCAGGACACGGATGTTTAGTATTTGTGTACAGGTAGAGGCCTTGTGATGAGCTGATCAGCCGCCCAAGGAGTCCTACTGAATGCCTAAGATCTAGTAAACTGAAGTAAAACAAGAGAGTTTCATGGAGGTAGGCCAAGGCCCAAATTGGGGCTGTAGCACCAAAGGAAATTCCTTATCTCAGTGCTAAATGAAGGTATGTAGTCAGCTTCATCCCACAGGAGAAAAAAACTCTTGGTAATTACTGTTCGAGATGTGTCTATTCATGAAGAAACAGTTTTGATAACTCCTTACGCAATGAAATAATACGATTACACACTGTAAGCCTTGTAAGAAAATGAACAGTTTCTTGACACAATTTTGAATATTATCTATTTAGTGAAAGACATAGTATTTCCTCACAGATTCATTAAACAGACTTCACTGTGCTTTCCTCCAACTGAAGGCCACGCCATAGCTCAAGCGGTTAACCACTGGCTTCCCACCGCAGCGGCCCGGGTTCGAGCCCAAGTCTGGTCAAGTGGGATTTGTGGGGGAGAAAGTGGCACTGGGGTGCGTTTTCTCTGAGTACTTCGGTTTCCCCTGCCAATCTTCATTCCACCAAATTTTCCATCATCATAATCACCCGGGGCAGGTACAATAGGACAATCAGTGGCCGCTGTGCCGAGTGGACCCAGTTGGACTCCACCCCCCCCTGAGCGAATTAAAAAAAATTCCTTCAACTGAGGAATTTCATAAAATGCATCACTCAAACAGCCAATTTTGTGCTGGGAAACAAACAGAGGAACATCCAAAATACTGGATACATACATTACCATGCACCATGGGAGAGTGAAAAATACCTGCAATTTCACATAGTTGAGAGTGTAGCTCTGTGGTAAGCAGGGGCTCTGGCAGGTCTCGTAAGAACCGCTTCAGCACACTGGCAACATCATACTCGTTATACTCCTGTCGTGTAAGCTGAACTGCCCATGCATCCTTCCGGAACAGTGTCAATAATCGTGTGACGCTTGAATTGGCACCACTACGGCGATAAATGCCTTCAGACATGCTACCTACACAAAATTGAGCCACCTTGGTAGAATAGGTTTCCTTTTTAGTGATACTTTCTAAACTAAACAGGTTTATATCAAATTGAAGGACATTTGTCAATTATTATTAATTCTGAAGGAAGTAAATGGAGGATTGTTGCATATTTCAAGGTACAGTACACCCCACTTCAAAGAAAGAGTGGTCACTGAAAATGGTTGTGTACTGTGAAATTCCTTAATGCAAACCCCATTCCTCAACTCATGCCCATAATGTAAGTGAAGATGTGCTCCTATGGAAATCTGCTGGTCTACAGTTGCAATAAAAACACAATTTTTTACCCATTATAAACAACAGTTTGTATATTTTCTATGCTATTTCACTGTTCCACTTGAAGCTGAACTTAATGACATCTTTCAAGACATAACAAATAAGGACAACAAACTGAGTAATTAAAAATATGGGAATAGCAACTAAGGCACCAAGCATCCCTGTCACTGACACACGTGCATAGGCTTGCCAATGGCCAGCTACAAATCATGATATGTCATTGATTCATAAACATATGCCACCCACATTTCTTAACAAATAACAATTCTATAACAAGTTGAATACGTTGTTTTGCATTTTGTGTTTAAAAAAATTGTAATATTGATTCCAAAATTTTATAAGAGCAAAATTCTTTATCATCAATCTTCATAGCCCAGAGGAAAACTAAAATAAACTAAGAGATCTGGGAAAATGGTGGAAATCTTGAAGTGAGATAGCCAGCTCAAAACCAACAAACAAACCCCAAATCTCTCAAATTCAAAGTAAAAGTGCTAACCATTCAACTGTGATGTTAATTATTAAAATTTTCATTCAGAACTTTTGTCATAAGATTTGTTACAATTAAATGACATGCATATCCAGGTCCTACAGAGGAGTAAAATACAGATTTCATGATTATGTGTTCCTGTCACAAATGTGGAGCATTCTGGAGCAATAACAAAATGACCCAGGACCAAAGTAATAAACATTTTGCTGAACTCATATAATTATAAAACACATGCTAAATCTTCTCTCACACTCACACACACTAAAACTCCATGACCTGTAGTCCGCAAGAGAACTATACTGACTGAGCGACCACTCCTTATCGGCGAAGTTAGTGCCAACTTTAGCGGATAGAGGGTGTAATGTGATCAGCGCAACAGATTCCCACTTCCATTAACCTCAGTCTTCTAGACCAGAGCCGCTATTTCCTTGAAATAGCTCCTCAGTTATCCTCATGAGGCTGATGAGTGGACCCCGTTCCAGACCCACTGCTTCTCAGAAATTCTTGTAGCACTGGGAATCTAACCCGGGACCTTCGAATCTGTAGCCAGGAACTCTGACCACGAGACCACAGAGGTGGTCTCATGCACACTTGCACACATGCACACATGCACACATGCACATACTCACACACATACTAAAATGTTAATACGTTACAGAATACAGCATTTACTACTCTACTTTCGTGATAATACAAAGGCAAATCGAAAAGTCTTCACCCCTATTTTTTTCCAGCCACAATAATACTGTCACGTATCGGGCTNAAAGGGAAATCAAAATATAGGCAGTGTTCTAAGTACTTTTGACTATTTTTCCACATAGTCACCACCCCGGTTCAGGCATTTGTCCCATCGCACCACTAGTTGTGAGATGCCGCTGTTATAGAATTTGGCCGGTTGAGCGCAGAACCACCACCGGGCAGCAGTTTTTGTGTGGTCACCAGATATGAACCTCTGGCCTGCCAGGAACTTCTTCAGTGGGCCGGATATGTGGTAATCACTGGGGGTGAGGTCTGGACTATACGGTGAATGCTCCATAATCTTCCATCCAAATGACTGCAGTCACTTCCGGGTATTCTCATGGATGATGTAGTTCTCCATGAACTCCAGGCCTCGTGTGGCAAACAGGACTGCTGCCCGACTGCAGTCATTCGGATGGGAGATTATGGAGCATTCACCATATAGTACAGACCTCACCCCCAGTGATTACCATCTGTTTGGTCCAATTAAGAAGTTCCTGGCAGGCCAGAGGTTCATTTCCAATGACGATGCGAAAACCGCTGTCTGGTGGTGGTTCCGCGCTCAACTGGCCAAATTCTACATCAGTGGCATCTCCAAACTAGTGGTGCCTGTGGTGGACAAGTGCCTGAACTGAGGTGGTGACCATGTGGAAAAATAGTCAAAGGTACTTAGAACACTGCCTGTATTTTGAGTTCCCTGTATGTGTATTATTGTGACTGAAAAATATAGGGACAAAGACTTTTCGAATTGCCCTTGTATATGTGTATATCATAGTAGTCCCATAACACCATTAATACTGATCATGAATGAATACGGACTATCTGTGCACACAAACAGTTAAGTCTATTATTCAAATACAAATAATATCCCAGCATAGCAGTGACATGAATTAACAGACTTCACATGTATACTTTACAGATAAAACAAAGATGTTGCAGACATTATACCATAATGTTTAATGTGTTTTTTCATGATCAGGAAATGTGTTCATCCATAATTACTGAGATATGAAAGGTACAAAATAAAATGTGTCTTCCATTTCATACAGCACCCAAGTTGTTCTGAAATTGCAATCAAATGTAAAACCTACCATGTGCATACACAAAGTTTATGCACTTGTCTATTATGACTGGTATTTCTTCACGAGTCAGCTGCTGCTGGGCAAGATGGAGTCCATTGTCGACTGCAGCTGCATGAATGACACTATGCCAAGAAACAGTCTCCCTTACAACATCCATCTGCAAGTACAGAGCTTGTCCTGGGAAGTCTACCAAGATTAGCGGACCTTTCTCTGTCACGCATAATGTTGACGCTTCATGTTTGGTGTCTTGCAGTACTATAACAATAATTTAATTCAATTCCTTTATTACAGAGCCTGACTCTAGCAAGACGTAAGTGCATAAAAGGTAAACAGTGCCAAGGATTACAACAGATGAAAATCGGGAGAAAAGAAACAAAAAATGTAAACAAATTAAAATAAAGCAGAGTATATAATACTTAAGACGAAAAAAATTACAATAATGGAGGTATAACAATGATAGTATATGTGTAAAACAACACAGATACTAAGTTTCTAAATTTTATAAAAAGAAAATGGTTTTACAACTAAAAATATTTAACAATTAATAAATTATATTTTCTGTGCAAAACACCTTGTGGTATGACCACACTTAAAAGCAAAAGATTGAATATTGGTATTAACTAGGATTCTGAAGGGTAAAACCTACCATTAGTTTTAGTAAATATATGCGTAATGTGTGGTAACTCAGTCATTAAAGTGACTGCCTACAGAGTGGATGACCAGAATTAAATTAATGATAGGGACAGTGACTTCTCTCTTCATGCCACATCCAGACGGACTCCAGGGTCCACCCACTGCTATTTCTTCTCCAATCATGCAGCTGGTCAGAACTTACTTATGAAACAGAGAAGAAATAATACACAATTACTTCTCACCTATACACCTTGCTTTCCTGAGATCTGCCTCTTGCAAACTTCCATCTTGCACACAATAGAACAGCATTCGCCTTTGGGCCAAAATCCATGCAGATGTCCAAGCTCCACTAATACCCTCCTGATACCAAACACACAATACACATATTATAATAATTAACTAATTAGCTAACTCCATGGACCAAAGTTCTTCTTGTGAAGCTAATAGTTACATGGACTGTCAAGAAATTCCCAGAATTTTATGCAACCCAAGGATTCACTACTTTGCTCACAAGAGCCCACAACTAGTACGTGTCCTCAGCCAGATGAATCTGGTTCACACCCTCTCATCATGCTTCTTTAAGATCTACATTAACATTATCTTACCACAACTGTGCCTGATCTGTTGGCTTGCAAATATCCTCCCTCTGCACCTAGGTCTCTTCCTTAACCGATTTCCCATTAACACTGTGTATTCCCATGGAAATTTAACATTGCCAAAGGAACCTGAGTTTCCATAAGTACAAAAAACCGAGGTAACTGAAATTTTAGGGTTTTATTCATGACTCTTCAGACTATTGCTGAAGAGGACAAACAAATGTCTTGATTTCTGGGTTGCTCAACAGACAAGAGAAAAATATTAAGACATATTTTAGACAAATACATCGTAAATATATGCAATGGATTAAACTGCCTTGGGACAGGTTCAAATGAGCTTTTGTAAACCTTTGGATTCCATAAAGACACTTTCATCTTCACCAACTCACACAAATTCCTCAAGAATGATACTGGACATGCAGTTAGTCTCTTGTAAAGCAAGGAATACCTATGTTCACTGCTGACCTCATGGCCTCAACCATGGCATATTTACTCACATCGGGATTACTGTCTTCTACAGTCTCATCACCTGAAGGTATATTTTCATCACGAGGTTAGTACATATCCATATTCATCTTTCAGCCCTCAATCAGTGCTTTGAGGCCATTTTAAATCACAAACAAATTCCATGAAATTTACAGCTTACTAAAGAACAGTACAGCATCATCTATGAATGGCTAAATGTGACAACAACACATATAAAGTGCCAGAAATGACAACACTGTGTACTACATACCTCAAGAAGTGATAATACATATTGCAACATGCCTGACTCAGTATGTTATACTTTCCTGTTTACAGATAAACTCTACCTGACCTAAGTTTACTAGACACCCAAGCTCTCTTATCTATGTTTATCCTACAGATTAGGTTGGGCAGAAGGTACAGACAGAAGAAAAACTATTCTTCTTAAAGAATGTACATCACACACAGTGTATCTTAAGATTTATACATGAATATCACCTTCAGATTTCAACACTGTTAATCCGCACTAAAAGTTTTCATGGTGGTATATCATGCTTTGGATTACTGGGTTTCTGGACTTTGCACATCGTACAGTATCCTAAACAGAAGACAAAATCTCGGAAACTGGATCCATTTCCGTCCTCAAGTGAAAAGACTGGAAGCCTCTACTCAGTTGGGTCCACTAGAGATAACAAATCACAGTCTTAAAGTAACCTTCTTCCAATAAATGCAACTGTGCAGGTGCCTCCCCCCTTTTCACCTGGGGACAGAAACAGATCCTGATCATAATACTAAGGAAAGAGACCTATGGGATGATCCAGAATAAGATGGTTTTTCCAGGTACTGGAAGACATAAAGAAGAAAAAAATAAGCTGGCAAAACTGAGAAGGAGAAGTTATGAGGCAGAAGAAGATACTGGAGACTTTCCATCCATCAACTCATAACCCTGAAGTGATGGCACAAAGTGTACCAGAAACCCATTTCCTATGACATTATACAACTGAATAAAACTACACATTGGGTTCTGAGGTCAACAACACAGAACACACTTCATAGAATGTTTGAAAATGTGTTTAACATACTAAATATGGGTTTGTGTAACTAGAATTCTCTGCATGTGTGTAAAGTGTAAACATACATTACGTGAACTATTTCACTTGACTTTATTCTGGATCACACTGAACATGCAACAGAAAATGAGCCTCAGGCAGTTAAAATCGTGACAGGCCCAAGAGAACTTGCCTCACTGATTCATATGATTCAATTTGAAGGAAAGGATCAATACAAAATATGTATACTTAAATGTCATGTATGCCTCTCAAGGATCACTTCTTCCAGTTCCGAATTTTTTATAGTCCTGGTCAGTTAAGATTTTCCTAACTGTTTCTCTGTAGAGTGTGCTGTGCTATGCTCCTGACAGTCAGCTGACGATTTTCAAGAACAATCTGACAAACTTTTGCAATGTTTTCTTCAGTTCTGCTGATTGCTGGCCATTGTGATCTCTCTTCATCAGTGACACTTTCTCTTCCCTCAGAAAACCGTGTCACCCACTTGTAAACTGCTGTATTCTCCCCAGCATTATCCCCATAAACTTGCACTAAAATTTTTCTGATTTCACTTCCACTCCTGCCAAATTTAACAAAAAATTTAATGTTTGTTCCAACATTCTCGCAATGGCACACCAAAACGCACTCAGATAATAATAGACACTACTCAGAAAGAGACTGCCACAGATCAACAACAACACAGCTGTGAAACAATGATATGCCAACATCATCATACCATACTGATTTTTCTGCCCACTACTGCCATGGCAAGCACACAGTGGTGACTTCATGAACTTTATTATCAGGCCTCATATTGTGACATGATGGCTGAAAGCCAGAATAGTGGAACAAACAAATGTGGCCATTGCTAGGAAACGGCGCGGTAAACATGTTTCTGCGGCAATAGATACTGATACAACAACAGAGGTGGTGTTTTCTATGCGATCCATGCTGAGCAGCAACTGGACAAGCAAGTCAGTTGACAGTCAGTTGAAGGTTGGAATCAGCAGGTAGCAGACAGTCTTGAGTCACACTGTTAGCAGCTGTTACCTAGCAATAACTAGCGACTACAGAAATATAAACAGAAGACTTTATATGTGCTGTAGTTGTAGTGATCTACAAGTGTAATTGGTGAAACTGTAACAGTTATTTGTAGCAACGGGCTGTAAGAGCTCAGTAAATCCAATTATCAATCCAAACTCCACAACCAGTCAATAATACATGACAATATTTTAATTTCTTAATTTAAGATCAAATGTATTACTGCAGGTTGGCAAATTTATAGAGGCCTATTACAAAACATATTTATGCACTGACTGCACTGTTTTGCTATATGCTGCAATGCTAGTTTCCTTAAGAGCAGTACACTTTTCTTTCCACTGAATAAGGTATCAGTAACATTACTATGAACAATTATTTTAATAATGGTTATTACACTATACCTTTATGTAGCACCAGCCAGCTCTTTTGTATTCTGTCAAGAGGCGAACGGGCAAAGCTGTTGTGAGGCTTTCCAAGATTTTCTGCATCCAGATTCGTCGTTCTGTTGGACCAGAGACCCCAAACAAATAATTACTCTTCCATGCCAAGTTCAGCTCGAAGAAGTGCAAGTCTTCACCATCCAAACTGATTAAAGTAAAACAAAAAAACTGTTAAGAGTGACAATCGGTTGGAACAGAAATAAAGAATGAAAGAAAAAGAGTAACACAACAAAGAGACAAACTCACTGAATATAGTGAAATGAAATTTCTCCAGCACCTCAGAGGTTTTATGAGGGAAGCAAAAATTACATTACTCTGGTTACATTAGGTTAGGTAGATAGTTTATTTATGAGTTCTATGAAATGCATCAGCTAGACAAGATTTCTTTTCTTTAATACAGGTATACTAATTTGTGTATTCATATGAGAAATCATGTCCTCAAATATCATGATCCTTAGTTTATTTAGTTAACTAATAACACAAGGCTGAGTCCTTCTTCAGGAACCACCCATTGTCCAACTTATTTAGTTAATGATCCCTCAGTCCCTGCAGACAAATGATGGGATAACACAACAAACTGGGTCATGGCTTTCTGCTTCCACATCCTTTATAATTCATTATTCTCTACCATCCAGTCATTCAATATTATATAGACAGAATTATTATTAGCATCTATAAATTAACAAATATACAAATACAGGGTGGGGGCGCAGAAACTTCCTTTAGAATTCAGCGCATTAAACGATTGGATATGTCTAGGAGGTGACTGCATGTTTGCGAGCGGAGAGTTTTGGAGATCTCAAAATCGACTGTCGAACTGCCCTCACATTTTCTGGCGTCGTAATGGTCCGTTGTCATCTGATGATTTTTTCACCACACTCCCAGTTGTCCTAAAGTTCTCTACACACAAAACAATCGATTTCTGGTCAGGAACCGGACCTCTGGGCTTAATTCTGAAGTGAGTACGGAACGCACGCTGCACCACCACGTAGGAATGGTCGTTCGAAAAATAGGCTTCGACAGCAAACGCACGCTGCTCACTCGTCCACCTCATGTTTCCTACTGAGGGGTATTATTAGACAGAAACTTCCGCGACTGCTGCGTTCGCCGAGCCTATCCCCACTTTTCTGCGACCTCCNGGGCTGTGAGGGCCGTGGCACCATCCTGTTGGAACCAGACATTTCCTAGATGCATTTCTTCAAAAGCTGGTTCGAAAAAGTTTTTAATCATGTCCACATACCGCTGTGAATTGACAGTAACTGCATGATTGTCTTCTCCAAAAAAGTAAGGACCAATAACTCCAACTCTCAACAACGCACACCATACTGTCACTTTATCCTGTGAAGTGGCCTCTCATGGAGCTCTCTGGGATTGTTACTACTCCAATAGTGCATATTCTGCTTGTTGACATATTCAGATAGGTGAAAATGTGCCTCATCACTAAAGAAAACATGTGCATCAGGGGGTAAAGTTTCCAATAACGTTTCGCACGCTGTTATTCGGTTCTGGAAATCACATGGTGACAATTCTTGCACAAGAACCATTTTATAGGGATGGAAATTAAGATGTTTGTGAAGAATTCAGTGCATTAAACGATTGCATATGTCTAGGAGGTGACTGCATATTTGCGAGCGGAGTGTTTTTGGAGATCTCAAAATCGACTGTCGAACTGCCCTCACATTTTCTGGCGTCGTAATGGTCCGTTGTCATCTGATGATTTTTTCACCACACTCCCAGTTGTCCTAAAGTTCTCTACCCACAAAACAATCGATTTCTGGTCAGGAACCGGACCTCTGGGCTTAATTCTGAAGTGAGTACGGAACGCACGCTGCACCACCACGTAGGAATGGTCGTTCGAAAAATAGGCTTCGACAGCAAACGCACGCTGCTCACTCATCCACCTCATGTTTCCTACTGAGGGGTATTATTAGACAGAAACTTCCGCGACTGCTGCGTTCGCNCCAAAAAAGTAAGGACCAATAACTCCAACTCTCAACAACGCACACCATACTGTCACTTTATCCTGTGAAGTGGCCTCTCATGGAGCTCTCTGGGATTGTTACTACTCCAATAGTGCATATTCTGCTTGTTGACATATTCAGATAGGTGAAAATGTGCCTCATCACTAAAGAAAACATGTGCATCAGGGGGTAAAGTTTCCAATAACGTTTCGCACGCTGTTATTCGGTTCTGGAAATCACATGGTGACAATTCTTGCACAAGAACCATTTTATAGGGATGGAAATTAAGATGTTTGTGAAGAATTCAGTGCATTAAACGATTGCATATGTCTAGGAGGTGACTGCATATTTGCGAGCGGAGTGTTTTTGGAGATCTCAAAATCGACTGTCGAACTGCCCTCACATTTTCTGGCGTCGTAATGGTCCGTTGTCATCTGATGATTTTTTCACCACACTCCCAGTTGTCCTAAAGTTCTCTACCCACAAAACAATCGATTTCTGGTCAGGAACCGGACCTCTGGGCTTAATTCTGAAGTGAGTACGGAACGCACGCTGCACCACCACGTAGGAATGGTCGTTCGAAAAATAGGCTTCGACAGCAAACGCACGCTGCTCACTCGTCCACCTCATGTTTCCTACTGAGGGGTATTATTAGACAGAAACTTCCACGACTGCTGCGTTCGCCGAGCCTATCCCCACTTTTCTGCGACCTCCCCTCCCTTCACAATGCGTCTTCACAAAAAGGAAGTTTCTGCGCCCCACCCTGTATAAATATACAATGCACTTCCTGATACACTTAAGGAAATTTCTAATGATATAGAAAGGTTTAAGGGCAATTTAAAGGTATTTTTGTATTTTAGTTCTGTTTATACATTGGAAGAGCTTTTTATGAGATAATGCTTGCATAATTATATTATATTGAAATTTTAACCAACATGTTAGTTGACTAAAGCTTTTTTGTAAATGACTTCAATTATCTGTTATAACAGATCTTATCTGATTATACCGTATTATTTGTATTCTTCATTACCTTTATCTTATATTGTAAATTGGTTACTGTAATATGACTAATTATATTCAACTTTCAAACTTGTCTTATATTATAAAACTGGTTCTTAAACAACTGTCATATTGTATAAGCATGATTAGTAAATAATATTTTGACTGAATTTTTTATCTCAAAATTGTCAATGTCTTACTTATTATTTTCAAGATAAATTTTTAGATGTGACTTAAATCTTGTATACTACAAACTTGTTATTTTGACAACTGCTTGATTTCTAAGCAAGATGAGTTTATATTTCTGGACGATTTCTATATCTATTGGTTATTTCAAACTTGTATGGATTTTATGGAATGTGAATAAATGTAAATGTAAACTATAGTGCAGGTGGTATAGCGACAGGCTACAGGTTGGACAACAGAGGGGTCGGGGTTCAAGTCCCGGTGGGGTCAACAATTTTCTCTTCTCAAAGTCATCCAGACTGGCTCTGGGGTCCACCCAACCTCCACCAAATGGGTACCAGGGGATCTTTCCCCAGGGGTAAAGCGGCAGGGGCGTGAAGCTGACCACTCACCTCCAACTAGTGCCAAGGTCAAGAAAATGTGGGCCTATACATTCATACCCCCATACGCCTTCAACTTTGTGATACTTAAAACTGAACGAGAAATGACAGGCTGATAATGAATGCTGAGTTGCAAATATTATGAAAGAATAAATCATAATCTATTGTTAAGTAACTCAAAACATCATGCCTTGAGGAACTGAGGAAATTAAGAACCAGTCTTGAGCTGGTCTCCCAGCTAAGATTTAATCTGGTGAACCAAATATAAAGCAGGTGTGCTAACCACCACACCTCTCTGTCAATAAAGGCTTGGTAAATTTACACTGGGAAACCCTACTCCATATTTTGCTTTCCGACATACTGATCATTATGGGCCCAGATCAGAAGAGCAACAAATTCATGCATCAGTGTATACATAACGAATAATGATAAGCAATTTAAAAGATTTCATTTCTAAGAAGACTCTAATCACATGCAGATATCTATCATAGCTCTTTAATGGACACTTCAGAATAGCAGTAAAGCAGCTGCAGACCAAGTTGCCACATGATGGCCATTAGTACTGGGCTTGGCAGTAATCTGCCCGCAGAGTCCATTTTTGTTTACCAGCAAACTGGGTAAATCCCACGAATAAAACAATGACTACTCCTTATGCATGATCTACAGAATTCCTATGTTCATTCACTTAACCTCATTTTAATGAAGTTCAATTTTAATTCAAGAAGCATAAATTAGGAAACAAGAAACACACAAAAATGTAGTTGAAAAACACACAAAGAAGAAACCAGTCAGAAGAGGAAGGCACATAAAACAAACTCCGTGGCTTTAGTCCGCAAGTGAACTATACTGACCGAGCGACCGCCTTTCGGCGAAGTTAGTGCCAACTTTAGGGGATATAGGATGTCGCGTGGTCGGCGCAACAAATCCCCATGGCCATTAATCTCGGTTTTCTAGACCGGAGACGCTACTTTTCCACTCAATTAGCTCCTCAATTATCCTCACGAGGCTGAGTGGACCCCGTTCCAGACCCACTACTTCTCAGAAAATCTGGTAGCGCCGGGAATCGAACCCGGGACCTCTGGATCTGTAGGCAGGAACTCTGACCACTAGACCACAGAGGCGGTCTGATTAAGGCATATATGGAGGCAAAAAATCATGCAGGTGTCACAGGCAAGTTAACAGAGGCCATTAGTGAATACTGTATAAGTTTGTTCAAAATTGAACACGTCATTTAGTTGAGGGTTGTAAGCAAACAAAAGTAAAAAAAAAATACTATTATAAAATTTGAAATTCAAAATTTAATACCTTATATTTAATTCTAAATGGGTTCTGATGATGGTGGATGACACAGAATTACTGGGGTTTTGGATTTTTTCCATTGTCCAGAATTTTAGGTAATAGAGGACAGGACGTTTCGAAAACTGGATCTGTTTTCGTCTTCAGGTCAGAAAGGAGGACACCTACTCAGTTGGGCCCCTGAGAAAGAGCTATTCTCAATCACTGGACAACTGCTGTCAGATTTACCCAGCTATAGCCTAGTCCTATATGTTGAAAGAGCTGGGTATATCTGACAGTAGTTGTCCAGTGACTGAGATTAATCAATCCCTCTTTTCTAAGAA